TTTGCAAGAAAACAACCAAGCTCAGAGAACCCCAAGGACTCCACAAAGACAAAGATGTTTATAAAGTTTGGATTCTGTTCTTCTTCCCTGTTTCTAATGATAGCCACTTTTCTGTTTCATTCAGTCATACAAAACTCCTTGGAAGAAAATCCAGTAATGCAACTCAAAAGAAAAATGGTAGCAGGTGTTCCACTGCATCTTCTACACTCTAATCTGCTCAAAGGAGTTTTAGGAAAAATGAAGTCTTGTTGTGCAAAAGCTATTAACAACACCCTATAAAAATGTTTCACTATAGTCTTACTAAAATATAAGATATTTGTGTGTGTATTTCTTTTGATGTGGGCTAGCTTCATGGCTTTCTTCCTGACTGGGTTGCAAGAATGCAGGCAGCCACCGGATGGCAGCAAAGAGAAACAGAAAATTCTACCTCTTTGCTAACAACTAGAGGCTGCCTGCATTTTTGTAGCCAGATTCGGTTGCCCTGTTATAGTCTATATGTAAAATCTTAATTTGGGTTAATAATCTCAGTTTTTTAGGTTGGAATTACTCTGAGGTGATTAGAACAGCTTCAAAGATAAAACATCAAGAGTTGTGGATAAGTGGCTCAATTATTCTAAGTGCCACTAATTGGATGGATGATTCTTCACTGCAGACATAAAATCGCTAGCAATGCATTTTGGGAAAAAGATACAGCTGATGACATAAAAATGGACTGGATTATAGCATCTGCCCAAACAATTCGGAGAAATTTTAAACGGACATTTTCCCAGTCCTAGGGGTTTTTGTAATGCAAAATGACTTGATTTATTTAGGCTTCAAAGGAATAATTTGCAAAGATGGCAATGTGACACACAAGGAAAGTACAAAGAAAGAATGAGTGCTACCCACAAATATTAGTAGAGTATGGAGGAAATATCATTGTTTAGGGAGAGTTTCATGCACTGGATTATTAATTCCAATTATTTACAAAGTTTTGTAAAGTATACTGATGGGAGTAGAATAATTAGTAATTATATATTTTTATTATATCTTAAAAATTAAGGTTGACATAGATGCAGCGTGGAGGGAAAAAGACAAAGCCAGACAAAACTGCATGCAATGGGCAGTAACCAGACAAAAAAAACCTGTGCATTTTGTACTTAGAGACTTTTGATTAAATTTTCATTATAATTATTAAGCTTCTAAAAGAGTCACGTCAAGGTCTTTTAATATTTAAGAACTCTTAAAAGTGGTTTACTTTATAATACAAGTAAAATATTTTAAAAGGTGAATTCGTATTACGGATGAACTCATTTTACAAAACCATAAAAGCTGGATGGGTACTGGAAATAAAAAGGAAAGAAGTCCTTGAGCTGAGCTTAATTCCTGGTGGTTACAGTTTTATGTGGTTTTCTCTGCAACAATACAATAGTGGTTTGCATTCCAAGATTTTTTTTCAACTATCCAGTTGTCTATCATCCAAGTAATAATCAGGTCTGATGCTGCTTAGTTTTTTCAAAATCTGCCAAGATCTGTTGGGTATTGGAACCTGCTGTAGAAAAGCCCTTAAAAGATTTTTTTTTTTTTGCATTTATGATATGGATTAAATCCAGACTTTATTAGGAGTAAACCCAATGAAATCAACAGCATCTAATTAAGGTATAGCATTTTAGTTACTCAGAATGTAACTATAAAGAGTTTATACTGGAGTTCATTGACCTTGACAGAGCCTATTTAAAACTGTAATGTTATCTAATTCCAAACTGAGATTTATTTTTTTTGTCAGATGATACAAATAACAAAAATGTTATCTGTAACGCAAATCTCACAGTACAGATAGTCCTCACTTAACGACCATTTGTTCAGCTACTTTTCAAAGTTACAGTGGTGCTGAATGAATGGTACTTATGCCTGAGACCTGAAGTTACAGCCATTACAGCGCCCCTGCGGTCATGTGATCAAAATTTGGGCAACTGGCAGCCCCCTGTGCTTGCAACTGCAGGGGTGCTTCAATTCCTCCCACCCATCTCCCCCCATCTCTGCCTTTTTGGCTGCCCTTCAGGTACTCCTCAGTGGTGGCAGCAGCGTTGGGGCTGAAGCAGAGGCCGGGGGCCTTCAGCAGTCTCAGCTGGCCACCATCAACCCCAGGCCTCTATTTCAGCCCTGGTGCTGCCACTGCTGCTGAGAAGTGCTACCTCAAGCGCTGGGGCTCAAGTAGAGGCTCGGGGATGGTGGCGGAGTGCTGCTGTGCAGGGTAGCCAAAAGGGCAGAGATGGGGGCGGAGATAGGTGGGTGGGTGGAGTTGAAGAGGAGGCAGAGGAGACAGTTCCTTATCTTACTGAGGCTTGGGGCTGGGAGGGACCAAGCTGGGAATAGCTTGGAGTGGGATGGGTCCTCGCCTAACGACCAGTGGGGTTCAGTTAACGATAGAAATGGGGGCTGCTGGGATTGCCAACACTAAGCAATGCAGACGTGTGATGTCACGCTTTATGACCACATTGCTTAACGATGGAAATTTCAGTCCCAATTACCATCATAATTCGAGGACTACCTGTATTTATATCATTCAAGTTGCTGTCTGGTTGCTTTAAACAGTGAGTTATTCACATGTATTCACATTATGATTTAACAGCAAATTATAAATTAATTTTCCCTGCTGCAGAAATGTATTTTAGCTGCAATTTGTATCTGAAAGGCAAGAAAGTGAAATCTCAGGGCTTACGTTTTTCTTTTAGCCTTCTCTTATACACTTCCTCTATGACAGGAAATGGAGAAAGTCAATGAAGAATGCAGGAAAAAACAGAGAAGATAACTATATGCAATTCTATCAAATATGCATCCAGTAATAAAAGATATACAGTATTTGACATTACTGATCTCTTTCCTTTTTCGAAAGGAGATAAGAACAGTTATGAAAGGAGCTAAGCCACTTAAAATGCGTAGGCCCTCCTTCTTTTGGAATCCATAGATAGATCAGTGGTTTTTAGAAAGAAGCGTATTTGCTAACATTTCTAGCAATTTTTAGACAAATAGTCAAATCTAGTAATACATGCACATATAATATAAAACATGCAAAAACATTATGAATAATTAAAATCAGTACTAGAACTCCTGTCCATTTAATAAGTAATACAATTCCTAGTGTGTTTTAAGACATCTTTGAAAAAATTAAATCTAAAAATGGTCATTTACCTTTGGAAAACCACCACTAATTCAATTTTACCAACCATATAATAGGGGAACAAAGATTGAGTCACCCACATTTGATCTGGTAGAAGAATTAAGGGCTGAATATTTATTGCATAATATTATGAAATCATCAAGTTGGAAAGGGCCATATACATCATTAGGTCCACCTCCTGACTCAATGCAGGAATCCAGATAGCATCTCTGACAGATCACTCTCCAATCCTTACTGGAACACACCCAGTAACCATATCTTTGCTTGTGTGCCTGATGGATAAAGCATATTCAGTTTGGCCAGTAAGAGAGAGTAAGAATAACATTTAATAAATGTTGCCCATTGTTTTGTATAAACTGTAATACATAATACAGTAATGTAGTTAATGAAAATACTCCTCTTCCCCAGAATATGGAGGTCAAGTCAATCTTCTGCAAACTCTTAGCTTGCCTACTACAGAATAAGTCTATAGTAGGAATTCCACCTGAATTGCTGCAAACCAATTAAAACTGTTACACGATACATAGATAATAAAGCAGGATGTGGGAATTCAACTGTCATAATCAAACTCAGAAATGCTGTATGGATAATTAAGAAAATCAGTTTTCATTCTCTTTGGCACAATGGCTATCTATCAGATTCTTCATTTTAAATATTAACAGTCTGCATACGATTCTTAAAAACAGCTGGCAGCAACAGAAATATAAGCAAACACCATTACCTCTTTCTGCAATTTCATTATTTGCAGATGTCCTCGAGATTTGACTCTGTAATCGTTCAATTTCTGAGTCTTTTAGAGCTAGCTGTTCTTGAAGCTGTGCTATTTCAGCCTAAAAGAACAGATAAACAGTAATTGTCTTTCTATCTTAACACTTTGTCAAAGAAGCAACACACAAAGAATCACTGTGAATTACAGTATTTCTTGTAATAATATAAAAACAAAACAAAACAAAACAAGCCCCCCATCTGCCTTTATTTCTTTAAGGTATTAGAAGACCAGATGATGGATCTATATATGTTCCCACCCATATCCTGGTTTTACACAGGATGAACTATTGCTTTTAATTAAAAGGTAGGAAATATTTGGCTAGAGGATTTTCAAGAGAGGAATGGCTTTTGCATTCACGTGGGGTTTCAGAGTTGGCAACTAAAAACAACTGTCTGTTAGGATAAGGTCTAGAGAGGGGGTCCCCAAACTCTTCAGCTCATCGACCCCTTCATGAAGTTTCAGATTGTTCATTGATCCCCAAACATTTATTGTATGAACATAATTTAATAAATACTACTTTAACTAATAGTACCTGAAATAACAATAATAACACTATAATGAATAGTCCCATTGACCACTTTGGAGAACCCTGTTCTAGAGTCTGGTGGATACGTAGCATACAAATTATTGTACATACATACATATATATTTTGACATGTCCTCTATTTCTATGACATTTCTTTGGATTTAACTTCTAACAACCAGCAATTTTAAAGAGCAAACTAGATCCAATACTCATTCTAACAAGGCAAAGTGACTGAAATATTCTGCAAGACTGTTTCTCAGGAACAGGTCTGCGCAAAATGTTTTAGGCTCCATAAAAACTCCCCCCCCCCTCTGCACGTGAATATTTCCCCCCTTATTTTCCTTCTGATGCTTCCCTATATCCTACAAAAGCATTCTTGTCAGCTAACTCAGAAACAAAAGAAGAATCAAAGGGCACATTACAACCCTCTGGAAACTAGAATATGCATCCTAGAAAGTATTTTAGATTAGATTATTGAGTCATTGGTCCAGATCTTTCCTGGGGCAAACTTGGAATGTTTCTCTATATTGTGCTGCTCACCTTTGTTGCTTTCAGTTTCCACTCATATTGAGTCCTTTCATTTTCTAGCTCTTCAACCTTAATTTTCAGGTGTTTGAGTTCCTGTAACAAATTCTGCAGGGAGTGAGAGATTAAAAAATACTTCTTAATGACATCAATCACATGTAAACATTATTATCAATGGCAAATATATTTCATGGTTAAATTTATGGAATGGTAGAACCACTTGACTGAAAATATTAAGGACTGCAGTAGGGCAGTGTTTCTTAAAGTGTGGTCCTAGGACCCCTGGGGGTCCCCCAAGACCCTCTCAGGGGGTTGCAAAATCAAAATTATTTGCCAGCCTATGTTGAAAAACAATACAACATTAAAATCCTACCAAACAATCATGAGAAGCAATAGTGGCAGTGAATGCATCAAGTTTAATTTTTGATATGGTAAATACTGATAAATATAACCCATATGAACAAAAGCTCTGTTGGGGTCCTCCATAATTTTTAAAAGTGGAAAGAGGTCCTGAGAGAAAAAAGTTTAAGAAATGCTGCAGTAGGGGAAGCAGAATATAACATTCTATTTTGTGTGGCAAATACACTGTTTTATTTATAAGCCAGAAACTTCCATTCCTAATCTCCTTTCGTTAATATGGGTGTTTGCTATTCTCTCTTAATATTTGATAAAGTCACTTCAAATTCCATTTTTAGCTTTAATTCCAAAAAAGTTACGTCTGCCAGCGTATCCCAACATAACATGCCTTATTCCTGAGTGAGATGGAAAAGTTAGGTCTTAACTATTCTCCTGAAACCTAGGAGGGAAGGGACAGATTAGATCTATGTAGAGAGAGAGAGAGAGAGAGAGAGAGAGAGAGCCCACACATAGGAGCAGTAATAAAAAATGCCTATTTCTTAGGTCCTGTCAGATGGCATTCTCGGATAGACAGGACCTGAAGGAAGTTGACCCTACTTGATCTAATCTGATGGGGAAAAGAATATATATAATATTTTGTGTCAGTTTCTTTCAGCTTTGTTTTGTTTTTCAGTCTATATTAGGTAACCAATTATTATAATATAGTTAATGCAAGGCAACAGTACAGATAGAGGTAGAGGCATTACTTTAAAGAAATCAGCAGGAGCAAAACAAATGTGTCCAAAATGTGATTCTCCAAGTTTCAGAAAATAACACTGCAACTTCAACAAACCTGGGCCAGTAATATATCTTAAAATGAGCTTATGTTAGGCATACCAGTGTCAGTCCTGTTGAATTCCATGAGCTAATCCAAAGTAGTTTTCAGACTGACATATAACGTGGTTTTAATCAAACACAGTGAAGGTTTATTCTACAAAACCCAGATAGCCTTAACTGATGTGTTTTGCAGAATAAGCAATTAACATTTATGAGTTTTAAACAAAGAAATACAAGACTGAGCTTTTATAGTGGCTTCCCTGTGCCCCATTCATTTGATTCTCTTAAATAAAATGTACAAAATAAATGAAACTCAGATGCCTATAATTTAAATACATTTTGAAGCTCATTGCCTTAAATGGAGGCCCACAGGACCTGAAGGAAGTTGACCCTACTTGATCTAATCTGATGGGGAAAAGAATATATATAATATTTTGTGTCAGTTTCTTAATTTTCTCATGTCCATCAAACAATAGAGGTTTGATACATTATGCTAATATATTATAGATAAACCTTTAACAATTACTTAATGTATTTAATAACACATTAATTACTATAAAATCTAATTTAAAAACAGATTGTCTGTAATTATTTTTTGCTTTCCTTGTTAATTATACATTATTAAAACAGATTTACCAAACAAAGCAATTAGGTTCAATATTCCCCACACACTTCTTCTATAAATTAAGAGGACTGGTATCTTCAAATAAAAGCTTATAAGTTACTAAAGAAGCATAGAATATCCCTAAGGAACATTTAACTAGACCTTTGCAATTCGCAGCATGGTTCTGCTTTAGTGACATATGTTAAAATTTTCAGATATTAACAAATTCAACATTACATAAAACATAGGTGTAACACTGCAATCCATAATTGGAGACTGCCTACATATAGTAAAAATGGGTTTTACAAATAAGGCCAGAATACACCCAAAGGTGGATCACCATTATTGAAAAATCTCCTTACATATAATGTAGAGTTGTAGGAGATAAAACTGATTTACAACTGGGAATCATGGTTTGTTACTATACTAACTCCAAGCCAAGACAAGCAAAACCTGCCTCTTTGTTATGAAACACAGCATTCTGTAAAAGCAGCATCAATTCATGCCAAGTGGTCACAGCAAACTCTGGTTAGTAATGTTTAGTTTATTCCTCAAAAAAAGGACAATGCATAGATTCAGGCTAACATTTGACCTTCATACTTCACACTGAAAGCAATTCTCCTGTGAAGGGAAATCTATTACCAATTCACTGCTGTCTTGAGAACCAACTGCCTCCATACTTGGCTTCCTACTATGAGATTTTCTTTCCTGGATTTGACTGTTAATCTCCAGTTGCAGTCTACACATCTGTTCTTGTAGTTCACTGATCAGGTTGACTACTGACTAAATAAGAAAGACAGAAAATGACATCCAGAGACAACATGAAATGAAGCCAAGAACATCACTCTTAGACGGTTGGGGGTGGGGGAGGAAATGAGTCACAGCAATAGGCCTTAAGGTGTTCTCTTTTGTGAAATAGTGAAAAGCACAGGGGCCATTCCACAGAGCAGATCCCATTAATGTTTAAAACAAGAACCAAAACAATTCCTTCTCAATCTTAAGAAGCTCAGATGACAAGTAACATCATAAGTGGTAAAAATGCATTGTGGGGACTCCAAAGTCCTGTAGCTTGATAAATGTCTCTAACTCATTAAGAATGCATGTCTGCAACTGATTTCCTGAACATCTGCCTATGATCATATCAAACCAATGCTTCTTCTGCCATATTGTAGAAGGAACCGTGTCTGCAAAGCTTAATACTACATTTCTATAAATACATACACGGTAAAAAGAAATGGTGCATCTCCATTAGTTAAGGCTAGGCAATTCTTTAGATTCAGTTAGGAAACCATGCTTCCAAAAACCTGCAAAGGGAACGTAGCACCTATTTGTAACTCATTAAAGCATTCCATTTTTTAAAATAATAATTTTTATTGAAGTTTAAAAATACAGAGAGAAAAAACTAATTACGAACTAAGAAAAATATAAAAAGAAAAAAGAAAGAATAAAAAGTGCAAAGGGAAAAGAAGAAAAAAGGGGGAGAGGAAAGACTTCCTCACCATTAAAGCATTTTTGTATTTTCACAGAATCACACAACTACTGCAAAAAGGATTCCACTGCAGCTTTGTGATCCTGAAAACAGAAGTGGTTACTTTAATGAGTTGCAGATAAGTGCTATGCTTATCCTCCTATGTTTTGAAGCACTTCTTCCAAAAAGAATCTGAAGCACTGACAACCCTAATCCTATACTAAAAAAAAAAAAGTACCAAAGGCCTCATAGATCACAAACTTTCCTAAAATATTCTTAGGAATCTGCCTAGTGTGGAATCTTACTAAACAGCAGAATATCCCTTGTTGTTTTCTTGGCAACAATACAAAGGTACTTTATCACTGTCTTCTTCTGGGAGAGTGTCCAATTTCCCAGTCTAGCCTACAGACTGGATTTCCCATCCAAGTACTTAAACAGCTCTGACCCTGCTTGTTCAACACCGACAAAGATCAACTAGGTGCTTCCATTGTCCTGAGAGAATCTTAATTGTTCTTAAAAATCATTCATAAACACAAGTATCCCTAAATGATACCCTAATGTCTACCAATATTTTTCTTTTTAATGCCTTCTAGATCTCTTTCAGGAGCAATGAATTAAAAGTACATCCTACGAACACCCTGGAATTCTTTTCAAATCACAAAGATTCAATGGCAGAAAGAGAGACATAGAAAACATCCTCTGAAACAAGAACAGCTGAAAATAGTATCTCAAAATATGAAGCTATTTCCCAAATAAAAATAGAAGTATAGAGAGCCTTTGCAAAATTCATGGAGCTAAGAGAGATGAGAAAGCTTGGGTACAGTTGCTTGGGTATCATTCCATAACCTCAGTTTGTGCTTTACCATTACAATATACACATACACACACCAGAGCGGCATAATTAAACTCTCTATCAACATTCCAACTGGTTTTTATATTTGATGAGTGTCAGCTCATCTATTTTCTCATGAAAGGTAACTTTAAACTCTAAAATGTTAATGTAGCATAGAATGTTAAAAAGTCAAATTTAACTTTATGCTGGAGTATAATTATTGCTTGGGACAGGGAATGGCTCTATATGGTTATATATGCATAAGCCAACTTTCTATTCATAACAAATTGCATCTTAAACTCATATAAGAAAATCAGTTCTAGGTAGGGCATTCAAGAATGAAAATTATAAAAGTCTCAAAATCCATGTTCTCAATCTTTTTTCTTACAGCATAAATTGGAAATATTTGCAGAGAGTCCTTAAGTTTTGGAAAGAAATTCTGAATGTATCATTTTGGAGAGAGAACTCTCTCACTAAGCCAAAATTAAACTAGAGCTGCAGATGGTTTACACGGAAAGAGAAATACATATTCTGCAGTGGGCATTCATTTTCAAAATGGAAGAGATGGGACTCTGACAGGTTGCCTTTGCTTAGCTGAAAGCTGATGCTAAACCCTTCCCTTACTTCTACCTCTCAGCCAGGGTGATCCAGGGGATGCACCATCCAATTCTTGTGCCAGAACTACGTACAATAATTACAGGTCTGTAATGACATTTGTTGCCATAGGAACCATTTCCCAGACTCTGCAGAGCAACATGATTCTGCTACTCTTCTTTCAATCTGTTTCTGTTTACTCCTGTCTGAAAAAAACAGGACTATTACATTGATTTCATCTGGTTTCTACTACCTATGTCACTTCTTCTCAGAATTAAAATGGGAGGCAGATTCAACTAGAGTGGGAAACAATAAAATGACCTGTCTGATTTAAGCCAATCTGTTATTTCTCCACAGGGCACTATTCTCCGCGTGTGTCTTGACTGAAATAGAGGAAGCACATAAAAAACATTTCACAGAGATAAACCCACTTCCACAAAAATTGTGCAGCAGGAATATTTGCTTATTTTATTCAATTTGGATGCTGTCCAACTCCGACCAATCTGGGGCGGTTCACAACAATAAAATAATACAAAAACCAAGAAATTATAGAAATTAACCAAAACAAGTACAAAAAATAACTACAAAATAATCACAAAATGGCAATCCAACAACAAAACAAATATAACACATCACAAATGTGGAAATCTCAGGAATTCTACCCCAAGTCCTGGGTAAATAGTCAGCTCTTTAAGGCTTTCCAGAATGTATTCAGGGTGGGAGTCATACAGATCTCAGTGGGGATTTCATTCCAGATGGCAACACCGCTATACAGAAACCGCTTCTATAGGTCCAGAAACCGCTTCCATAGGTCCAGAAAGATGACAATGATTAATCGGGGGGACCCATGGTGCACCCACTCTGCCAGATCATACTGGACAGGCAGAATCAATGAAACACAGGCGGCCCCACAGACGCTTCTCGGGAGAAAAATCGGCAGGAGAGACTTGCAACCTTCCCTGCTGGCTTCCCCACTGACTTTGCTTGTGGGAAGCTGGCAGGAAAAGTGACAAATGGTGATAATGTAACCGGGGGATGCTACAACCATCGTGTGAGCTGGTTGCCAAGTGCCCGGATCACAATCACATGACTGTGGGGGTGCTGCAACTGCCGGAACTTCAAGGACCAGTTGTAAGCACCACTTGTTCAGTGCTGTCACAACTTCGAACAGTCACTGAACAAGTGGCCATTAATCGGGGACTACCTGTAGATGGGTACAGAGCTGGCTGAAAAATTGTATCCAACATGTGTATGTCAATGGGTCTGCATCAAGTTGGAGGGAAGCCCTGAGTGATGTATTAGTTCAACATATTTATAAATTATTTGTATGAAGGGTTAGAAAATGTGAACATCAAATCTGCAGATAACATAATTAGGGGTGGGTGGGAAATAATTTAGAGGACAGTATCAAAATTCAAGATCTTGAAAAGCAATGGGCAGAAACAAGCATCAATTTCAACAGGGATAAATGCACAGTCCTACTTTTGGATAGAAAAAAATCAAAGGCATAAGTGTAAAATTGATGAGAGGAACCATACTGGACAACAATAATGTGAAAAAGATCTAGGTGTCTTAGTGGATTATAAGCTGCACATAAGCCAATCATGTTATACAACTGCCAAAAAAAAAAAAAAAAAGCAATCCTAGACTGTATCAACTGAAGTAAAATCTCAAGTTCAAAATCAGTGATTTCTCATTCTGCATTGGTCAAACCACACCTAGAACATAGCATCCAGTTCTGGGAACCAGAAGTAGATTGGCAAATTAGAGTACTGAATGTCCGGAAGAGGGAGTTCAAGGTGATAAGGCACCTTGATGGAAATACTTATGAGAAGGCACTGGGTATGTTCAGCTTGGAGGACAGAAGACTTCAGGAAGACATCATAGCTGTCTGAGTATCTGAAGAGTTGTCATGTAGAAGATGGGCAGATTTGTTCAGAATTATTTCAGGACAAGAAAGAGGCTTCAATCACATGAAAATAATTTTGGTAGGACACCAGGAGTGAATTTCCAACTGTAAAAGCTGTTCAACAACGGAACAGATTACTTCAGGGAGTGGTGGACTCTCTTTCACTAGAGATGTTTACACTGGATGTTCATCTGTCAGAGATCCTGCAGTAGTGGATTCCTGAACTGGCCAGAAATCGGACTAGACAATCTCCAAGATCCCTTCTAACCCTCCCACTGTATGATTTTATGATTTCTCACAGCATGTCCTGGCACAGTTTTGGGAACAACTGCTCTGATGTTTCTCCTTGGCAGTTATAAGTCAATTTCACCGAGCCAGCGGTATTCCATCACATAAACTTTTAAAAAGAAGACCATCACAATGACTTACAAAAAATAAATATTTTCTTAAAGAAACATGTTTTTAAAAAGGAACTTAACTGTGCACTTACCTTTAAAGTTCTTAAGCAAAAAAAAAAAATTTTTTTTACCAGTTTGAAACAGAGATGCTCACTGTAAATAAGTACAAAAAAGGTGGAATGCCCCATACATATCTTATTCATTCATTCATTCATTCATTCATTCATTCATTCATTCATTCATTCATTCATTCGATCATGTGATCTATAATCAATAATTAGCTTCCTGAAGCTTAAGACTAAAGGTGAAACTGCATCATTTGCTTCTCTTAGCACTCTTAGAAGCATTATCACTTCCAAGTACCTTTGCAAAGTGATATAAGGGACAAATCTATAGAGGTGATATATTCTGCTTGTATGACTACCTCAACAAAGGGATATGCAACATTATGTTATTTTCTTTCAAACTTGCTACACTTCTCTGACCGCTTTGATGTTGGGTCTTTCTGATAATGATACCTCCATACATTTCTGAGTATAATGCTGATAGAAGAAGGTGCACACTATTTATATAAGATGAAAATCAGACTGGAAAGTTGTCTAACTGAACCGTAGAACTGATTACACAAATACAAAATTAATCTAGTTCAGACCCTTTGATACTGGATTATGAAACTGATAACGCAATGGGCAAAGCACTACAGGAATAATACTATAGGAAGAAAGGGGTGCTTCTGAAATGATCTGCTTTCCCTAAAGGACTGGGTGGTAGGAAAGGACTAATTTTTATTTTTTATTTTTAAACTACATCAGGAGTATAAAGCATGCAGCCTTCAGACCATGTGTAGCCAGATGGGGGACTGAATATAACTCCAAGTGTCACATCAGAATGGATGGGGGCAACATTTTGGATTTCTTGTTTTGCAAGCCTTAATATACCTATTTCATCAATCATCCACCCCAGAAGAGACAAAATTAGCTTGGGTCCCATTTATTCTGGCAGCTTCTCCCTTCCATTTGCTTTTCTGCTAAAAGAGGAAAATCTGCAGTATTTTCTCTTCAGGAGAATTTTACTGTTCTTGCATCCTCTATTGATAAAGGAAAAAAAAAACACAACAGGGGGGATGGGGAGAGAGCTAAATTTTGCTATTACAAAAACCTCTGCAAAATGCTAAAATAAAAAAATTACAAATTGTAAAACAACAAATAGTCAATAAAATAAAGTTAAGGGAAAAATAAAAACTGGAATCTACTCAGTCAGTTAACTTTCTCTCTGACATAGATCTACCTAGATCTAGATCTTATCCATCTGAAGTAGCTTCAGGAATTGAAAAGACAAACAAGCAAGGCTTACCTCAGCTTTATTCTGCTTCTCTTCATACTCGCTCTGTTCCTTCTCCATTCCAACCAGCTTGATCTTTAGATCTGAAACTTCTGCCATTAAATCCAATTTCTGGGTTTCTAGCAATGTCCGACTTAATAATTCCTGCAAAAAGAGAAGATGATTTTTCCAGTTATTAAATTCTAAAATAAACAGAAAAAGTCTTTTACCTTTCCCTTTCTGATTTTAACAATGAATATGCAACATTTATTATTATTATGGTTGGTCACATAGTCAGCCAGATGTTTAGACTGGTTTTGGCATTTTTATCCACCTATCAAGTCCTTTCCAAGGACTTGGGATAGGCAGATGTTGTTTGATGGTGTTAAAGGTATTGTTGCAGGATGTAAACTGTTCCAAGTAAAGCTGCCTTTTGCAACTGACTGATGGTGATTTTGTCAGTGCCGATGGCGTTCTTCTATCATCATCATCATCATCATCATCATCATCATCATCATCCAAGAGTTTTAGCATTCTGTATATGGTTTTGTTATGTTTTGAATTATGGAAGCACTCAAATAAATATTTATTACCATTAATTAAAATTGTTTACTTCCAGTAAGTAAAATAACCTATAGCAAAGTTAGAACAGAGTAAAAATACCAAAAATAAAGGGCTTTCCCCCCTAGGGGTTCATGTAGGATACAGAACATCTACTATTTTTGGCTGAGAAAAGTATATATGGGAGAATGGATTTTTGAGCAAGAAATGGCAAAAAATGTTTGCCTTTTTTTCCTTCTCTCCTCCCGCAAAGATGACTGGATAGGACATATTTCAAAAACATAATGCAAAGGAATTCTGTATATTAAAAACATTACAACAAATGTACTGTGGCCAGGGGAGGGAGGGCATCCATTCTAAATCAGAAGACTTGTAGCAATAGTTAAAGTAAAAACTCCCAATTACTCCATAAAGTTACCTTTATGGAGTAATTGGGAGTTTTTACTCTAACTATTGCTACAAGCCTTCCACAGAAATCTATAAACCATGCCCACTCGACAAATTAATCCTTGTTTTTTTTTTTTGAGTGGGATTGTTCTAGTCTAAAAATCACACAAATTGCTGGGTGCAACAATCTTAAAATGAACCAGAAGATGAATGAGTGTTAAGGATTTCAGGAAGCCACATGCCAGTATATGGAGATAACTCTTTCTAACTGTTGCATTTTTCTCACAGCTAGATCTCTGACCCCATCTTTTCTGGACATTAGAAAACTTCTGAGCAACAATATTAGCAAGGGAACACTAAATAGAAGCAACCAGAACCATATGCAAATAATGTGGCATCAAAATCAGATAAATTGAGCGATTTTATCCACCTAATCCAGATTTACAGAAACCTCACCTACCAAACTGCTTCCACTTTAGAATTTAATCAGAATCACAGTCTGAGCATGAGCCAACAGTGCAATACAAATGTAAAAAAAAAAAAAAGCAAATGTAATCCTAGGCTGTACCAACAGCAGTATAATTAAAAGATCAAGAGAAGTTATCATTCCTCTCTACTCTCTGTTGGTCACACTAGAACAGTGTTTCTCAACCTTGGCCACTTGAAGATGTGTGGGCTTCAACTCCCAGAATTCCCCAACCAGCATGGCTGGCTGGGGAATTCTGGG